GGTTCAGTTTTTATCGATTTCGATTTGGTTCGATTTGGAACGGGTTGGGAGAATTCATCATCATCATTACCCCAGTGCTGCAAAGGCTCCCACCTATGATGGGCTAAAGAGGGTCAGATGTACGCAACCTTACCCCTATATTAAAACACAAAGAGACTGTTTCTGAATGATCCAAAGTGAAAACCGCATTGAAAATTGCATGGACTAACTGCTGGTTCATAACAAAGAAGCGCAGACAGTTTATTGAGCCATTTTGCTTTATTCCATCATATTCCCAAGCCGAAAAATAGTGAGTCTTTGGCTCCATTGCAAATTATGGAATAACTGATTGGGAGAATTATTACCAAATAAAACCATATTGTTTTTTGGTTTGGTTCGGTTCAGTTTAGTTCGGTTCAATTTAGTTCGGTTCGGTTCGGATTTGTTATTTTTTAATAATATATGAAGGTTTTCTTGAATTTCTTTACTTCGATTCGGTTTTGTACAGATCTTACCAATTTCGATTCGGTTCGGTTTGATACTGTTAAGACTCGGGGTTCCATCCTAAAAGGTCAACCTGATAGGAGGAGTAGCCCAAAGCCTTATATAGTGTTTAATTGTTTCATAGCTTTCTGGTACGGGACAAATGCATTAACACGCCCCCTCAGCCTGAACCGGCTGGACAATATCGGGATGTATAAACGGGCCAAACAAACCCGTAACAAGCTATGTCTGGTCGTGAGGAGGGGTGTTAAATGTCCCACACCGGAAAAGTTTGGATGAACCAAATGCTATATTAACACATGGACTACTCCTCCTATCAGGTTGACCTGTTAGGATGGAACCCCGGGTCTTAACATGGTATCAGAGACAAATCGATCCATGATGTGGGGCCCCTTATGAAAAAATGACAATTACAGCCGGATAAAAAAAAACGGACCGATGAAAAAAAAAATGATGGCACGATCCAGACGAAGTGTCTGGTCGTGAGGAGGGGTGTTAAATGCCCCACACTGGAAAAGGTTGGATGAACCAAATGTTATATTAACACATGGACTACTCCTCCTATCGGTTTAATACGGTTCAGAAGAAAATTACCGCAATCAAACTAAATTGCATATGGTCCGGTTCGGTTCGATTTAGTTCGGTTTGGTATGGTTCGATTCGTTTAAACCAAACCAATATGTCCACCCCTACTTCAGAATCATAATCTAAAGCCGTGGGATCATTCATAGAATATAAAAGTTCTTTGAGATTCCAAATAATGGTCTCCAAAGTCTCGTCACTGTACATTTCAATATCGCTTAGAATGTACATTACAATATCGCATAGAATGACGACATGTTTCCTTCCTACAAAGTCAAGGTACATCACAGCTAGCTCTCGAGTATGGAAAATGTGATTTACTCGGAGATCTTCGAGTGTTGGATCATACTTCTTCGGGCTCTTCAAGTTCACATGTTATTCTCTAATGCGATCTAATGGTCTTTGAGCCATGTAGAACTTGATCTGCCTCAACACATGTCTTTCGATAGCCTTGAATCCTAGCTGGTATATGTGCTCCTTCAAAGTAAATTTTATGTGGAGGCAATAAATCCAGTACACATCATTGGATTCTAGGGCTACAAAGTCTGGTTCTGAGATTCTCTGTCGTGAGAAACAAATAATCCTTTCCTAGCATGCATTGTTTCACTCGCATGAATATAAATTGAATCATAGTCGTAGACAAAGGAATTTCCCTTGTCTCATAAATATCGTTCAATTCTGAATAATCAAATGAGGCCTCAGCCTTGGCTTTTTCTTTTTTCTCCTATTCAAGAGCACTGATTCCTGAAGCTCCGATAAAAGCCATCCAGGAGGTTAGATCTAAACTCATGTACCTTATCCTTATGTCATAAAGTTGAAGTGAAGTCACTTTCTTTAAATGGCATGAACTTTGGTAGCCCAAGCCTTTTACAGGATTGTATTATTCAATGTCCTTTAGCTGATTTAAGAAAATGGTTTGATAAGTTTGGCCTTTTCTTAGCAAGAATGTCTTCCAGATCTTTGATATTGGAATACAATCTCTTGCGTTCCTCTTGAATTGTCTCACATAGGTTAACAAATTTGATTCGTTCGAGTTCAATAGCATTCAATTTCTTAGTTAAAGTCCCAGACGTTTTCTACCAAGTTTTCTGCTTCAGATTTACGATTCGTGATCTAATCTTGTGCATTGCTTAGATGTACCATGAGACTTGATCTTTCCTCTAAGCTCTTTCTCAAGATACATTCATTATTTGCCATACGTTCTTCTAATTCTTTAACAGATTTACGTTCTTTACTCATGGATGTGTGTTTATCTTGTAAAGAACGTGAGTTTTGAGTAAGAACAGAATAAAAAATAATTACCTCGTACTCCTCAGATTATGACACGGAGTCATTGTCAGATAATGATAATGTATTGGAGTAGGGATCAATTGTTGATTGTCGGGTTTGGAAGTGTACGCATTGGTTGATTGAATTGATTCTGAAAATTTTCTAGACTGAAAGCAAGCTTTGACTGTAAAGGTTGGCTTAGACTGTAAAGTGGATTGGGTTGTGGTGCTTGGACCTTAAAATTGAGGTTTGCGGGTCTCCTTGTAACGTGAACCCAACTTTGCGTGTCTCTTTCTTGTACCCCAAACACCAAGTTTGCAAGTCTCTTTCTTAGGCCAGAGACACATGAGGACCGCAAAGCTTGGTTTGGGGCCGCAAACGTTGTGATTTGTGAAGGACCGAGAAGTTGAAGGCCCGTATTTTGACTGGTCTGTAAGCTTTGAGAGCCGAAACTGTGGACCGTAGACCGAGGAAGGACCGTAAAGTTGGTTTATAGTTCTATTGTTTTTCACTTGGACCGGGAAGGTATGTGAACTTTGAAAATAGCTATGGAATCATCATAAAGTATATGTCTGAATGAGGGTTTACGGTTATTTCCTTCTCAATATGAGGTTTACAAACCTTTCTCCGTGAAAATATAGTCCAAAATTTTGCAGGTATCTTCAATCTAAAAGCCAATTGTAGATCTCATGTATCCAACAATCACACAATAATAATGAATAAAACAAAGATTAGAGAACAGAATGATTATGTATTTAGCACAGCTCTCAGTGCGACGGCTCTCTCTGTAATGAATATGCTTGTATAGAATGATCAAAAGTACTTGATACCCTTAACCGTACAAATATCTTATATCTTAAGGTTAAGCATATTGCAGTAGGCATACTACATTAATGGACCCTAATATAAAGATGGCTCATATCTAATTACAAGTACAAATAACTACCTAAATACAAAGATAAGCATAATAATTGAACACAATAAATAATATCTAACAATACCAGATTTCTGTTTGCCGAAGTTCTGATCGCCAAGTAGAAGAAACAGTGATTGCTTGGTCTGCATAGTCAATGCATAATAAAAAACAAATCAGTACAAATGAATGCACATGCTTCTTTAAGGGAGCTAAACAGCTTTTGTTTTCATTACCAGAAGCTTCTGGATTAATTGTCAGGCTTGAAAGTGGCACTAACACATTCTCTATGGCCTTGTCATGATCTTCTGATACCACATCCGGACCACTGTGTTCATCTTCAGAATCTGAGATAAAGGTCTGCAGCAGCAGGATTGCAACATCAAAGAGTTGATACAAGTTGACAAAATGTATATAAAAACTTTAGAAGTGGAAAGTGAATGAGATTATAAGAACCGGAGGTATTACAGAGCAACTTTTTTGGGAAATAAAATTAGGTTCACTCCCCTGTATGATTCCATTTTTAGTTTTTTACAGATATAGAAGTAAGATATTCAGAAATGGAGTTAATGAAACATATATTTATAAATCCAGATAACTACGCCTCTATGAGCCTGTTATCCTTGTAGGCACTTCAAAAAAGTTTTCAATCCCAATCAGCATGGTTTCAAAAAAGGAGGGTTCACCTGAGATTGATGTGCTCTTTTGATGGTTACATTCTTGTCCAACTTCACAGCTAGTGTAGGCCAAAAAGGACTCAACTCTTCACGAACCTGCCAGTATTTTGTTCATGCATCATTCATCGAGGTGAAACAATGAATTAAGGGTGAACACACCACCAGTGTCAGAAGTAGCTAGAGTGATGTACATCATACAGCATTACAAAAAGAGTAGTCATATAATATCAAATCACAGGTAATTTACCAAGCAATAAAGAAATCTTCTTACATTTTGAATTACTCGCCATGTGGACTCAAATGGATATGCATCTAATGACCCTGGAATAGGTCCTTGCTGCAGCAATACTTCAATACATGCTTGAACAGATTTTGCTATAGAATCAAGGTTATATCCTCCTTCAAGTGCCATAACAATTTTTCCACCAGCAAACTCCATTAACTAGAGAAGAGTCACACATGTGAATTAGTTTTCTTCTGTATTTGAAAGAAGAGATAACTAGGTTGCAGACTTGCAACGAAAATATGATGAGAAATATTTTGCACGTCAATCGATTAACTATAAAAGAAATGGATAGGTTATCGCTAACCAACGCCCTCAGGGCATTGGTTAAGGACCTAAAAGAAGAAACTTTTTAATTTAAACCCTTAAGAGCTTGCTCTTGTGACACATTTCAACGCATTTTGTCTTGCAACCTAATTTCCACTTTTAATTGCTTAAGCTACATCCTAAAGGCACTTGTTAGCATTTTCCAAATGGATAAACCAAGGGTATAAAGATCCGTCAAGAAGTGAAAATCTATTCATCTTGGCATGCATTTGTCGACTTACCTTGCTCAACATTACTGAGTATCCATGTGGACTTACTCGACATCCACCAAGAGGATCACCAACAGCTGTTCATAGCATTATATTGAGTTGAGAACTTTTAGTTATAAGTTAGATATATGGGGAAGCAAAGCATTACTGTGTAAAAAGAATGGTATGAGAGTATGAGACCCAGACTAAATAAAGACAAGGGACTGATGCTAAGAATGAAAGTAAAATACAGCACACACACATACACAATATTTGACAAGCTACAGTTTTATTCTAACCAGCATCAAATCCTGCGGAGACAATGACAAGGTCAGGACAAAAACTTTTTGCCACAGGAATCAATATATGCTCCCAAACTGCAAGATAGTCCGCATCACCACAACAACCACTCTCCCAAGGCACGTTTATATTATATCCTGCTCCCAACCCTTCCCCAGTCATCACATGAGACCCATCATCACCACCTGGATAGAAGCCCCCAAATTCATACCTGTGAACAAGCAATTGGGCTGAGAAATTTTCTGAATTGAGAATTTGTATAAAAACATACATGCCAAATATTTACAGAAAGCTGTCTTATTTGAAAGAATGAAGGGGCACAGTCAAAGAATTAGTGCCTTCTGATCAAATTATAATATATCTTCTGCCCTTGGAAAAGGTTCTCCCTTTCCTTTTTCGTTTGTCCTAAAATAAGGTTCCTCATCAGTTTAAGGAAAAAGTTGTGGCTCATATTATTTAAATTTCCGTTGTATAAATCCAACCACTCAACTTCACAGTTCTTAATGAGTGTGCCAAGTCAAAGGGGGGACCTTGTATGGGACAGAGAGAGTATAACATCTGGTTAAAGTGGGCCTTATATATGAACTCGCTCATGTGGGGCATTTATATGAAATGACATGATACGTTTACTTTGAATAAATAGGAATAAACGAAAACTTGGTTAAATACCTATGAACAGAAAATAAAAGTACACGAGGGTCCTTCCAAAACATTTTTTGAGTACCATTACCATGGTGAACATCCCAATCAACAATCAAAATTTTGTTAATGCCCAAATCTTTCTGCAATGTAACAAATAAAAATAAATAAAGATGAAGATAAAGCATGAAGAAATGTGTAATGATCTGATACTTTGACAAAAAGATCTGAGATAAAAGAAATTTGATTGATAAAAGTTGCAAACTGAGACTCGATCTCACTCGTTCATTCAGTAAATAACTTGCTGCAATAGCAACATTATTGTAAAGGCAAAACCCCATGGGTTCGTTCTCTTCAGCGTGATGTCCAGGAGGCCTGACAATAGCAAAGGTAGACTGAAGTTCTCCATTGGCAACTTTCTCAGCAGCCTGCATTCATAGCTTCAATGAGAATGGGTTTGAAAAGATACTATCAGTTGTTAACTTATTTTGTTGTTCAGGACATCATAAACAGTGTAAAAGCTGCTGCACCAGTAGAAAGGAGCAACAACTACAATGCTCCTTTGTCCTGTTCTGTCACTCTGTGAGATCTATTTTCTTTTTCCATTTATTACAAAATCATTGTTCACTTACCTAGTTTACACACCATTATTTTTGTTACTTTTTCATACGAAGTATTTATTACTTTACCTATTCTTTCAACATTTTACTCGGTGGGACCCATTTCTCTTTCTTTTATTGGAAAAAAATAAGCATGTAAACTAACAGCACCTTTGTTTTATTTAACAAGTGTCAAACCTAAATGCATCTTACAATTTGAGGAGGATAGAGTAATAAATGTCATGATGATAAAATAGTTCCAAAATAGAAACCACAAATAACACAATAGATACCAAATAAAAATTTCCAAAATCATGCTGGCATTAATTCCACAACCGTAAAAAATACAGGTTCTCTTATTTTCTCAAATAATATCAGCAGCTCCTCGTGGGATACTAAACTATGAGTGAAAAAAGAAGTCCCTCCATCTCAAAACATATTATACGCAAGGATAATGATGCTTGAACAAATAATTTGAAAATAAGATAGTTTTTGTGAACGATTCAGATTATAATTATGCATTGGTTACACCAAAAACAACATAGAAAATGGGCATATGAGGTAGTGAGGTACATACTCTGTTAGGAATAGTGTATGAAAACTACACGAGTATTTCTTTGTAATACAGTACATGTATATTCTGTTAGACTTCCGTTATGTTAGCTAATAGTTAGTTGTAACTACAGCCTATAAATACTCTGTAACTACTCTTCATTCAACAAGATGATTCCATTTCTATCTTCAATTCAGCTCTCTTTCTAATATGGTATCAGAGCATCGCTCGATCCAACCATGACGATTTCCTCTGATTCTTCATCATCTTCTCACGCCACCTCGCAAAATTCTCCTGTGATATTTCATCATCCTCTACCTGTTAAACTTGATTCCAACAATTTCTTGTTCTGGCGACATCATGTTAAGTCTGTTGTACGAGCTCACAAACTTCTCAAGTTCATCGAAAACCCTCAGATACCTGATCGATTCGCCGCTGACGAAAATGGAGCGAAGATAATCAATGAAGCTTATAGTATTTGGGAGCAACAAATCAGATGCTGTTTTCCTGGCTCTTAGCCTCGCTTTCTGAATCGCTTCACGCTCGTGTCATCAACTGCAAGTACTCGCATGAGCTTTGGAGTGAAATTCAGAAGTTTTTCAAATCAAGTATCATTGCAAGAGCTCGTCAATTGAAATCGGAACTCTATAACACTGGAAAAGGTTATCGCTCGATCTCTGATTATTTGCTTCGTATTCAGACAATTGTTGATAACCTAATGTCTGTCGATGAACCCATATCAACCAAGGATCCTTGAAGGACTTCCTGAGGATTACGAATCATTGATTTCATCTGTCACTTCTCGAAGCACTTCAGATCCTGTTACTATTTCTGAACTTGAAGGTCTTTTGTTGGCGAAGGAGTTACGACTGAGGAAACTTCGTGATTCATCGCAGCAAACAATGTTTTCTGCCAACGTTGCCCAAGCTGAATCTCCTTCTCAAAACAATGAAAGTGTGACTCAGAATACTTCTGAAATTGCCTCAGCTCAACTTGCTCAGTTCGATAACCCTAATAACAGTTCTTCCTACAGAGGTAGAGGTCGTGGAGGTTTTCATAGAGGAAGGGGTGGTCGTTCAGGTGGTAGAAATCCAGTAATTTGTCAAGTGTGTGGCAAAAATGGCCACAATGCTCTTGTCTGTTACCACAAATACAATCCAGCCTACACTGCTATTCAATCACCGAATACACAACAACCTCATCCACACTCAAACCAATTTCAACAGCCTCAACAACATCCTGCCCTTCCCATACCTAACCAATATCCAAATCACTATCATCCATTTCCTTCCTATCCTACTGCAGCACCTAGACAATCTCCTAATCACCCTACTCCTTCACCATTACCTCTGGGATCATATTCCTATCCCTATACACAACATTCACATGTGCCAACTGCAGCCTGGGCTTGTGCACCTCCATCTGTGCTAGGACCACCTCCATCCACTCAGAACTGGTTCCCAGACTCAGGAGCTACACACCATGTCACAGCTGATCCTCTCAACTTCCAACACAGTGAGCCAATTGCTACCACTGACAAGCTTTTTATGGGCAATGATCAAGGTTTGGAAATTAAGTCTATTGGTTTTTCATCCTTTCCTTCTCCTTATCAATCCTCTCTCTCTTTATCTCTCAATAATATCTTACATGTTCCTGCTATAACCAAAAATCTCTTAAGTGTCAGTCAATTTGCCAAAGACAACAATGCATTTTTTGAATTCCATCCTTATGAATGCTTTGTCAAATCCCAGGTTTCTAAGCAAATTCTGCTGTATGGAATACTTGGTGAAGATGGTCTTTACAAGTTCCAGTCCTTCCCAGCTCTTGGATCTAACCAGTCTACTGCAAAAAGCTACAAGTCTTCTCTAAATAGCTCTATGAGTCCTAGTTCTCTTATGTCTACTTGCAATAACCTTCAGTCAGCTAATAATTGTAATGTTTGGCATTTAAGGCTATGACATCCTCATCTTGAGGCCCTCAAATCTGTACTGAATATTTGTAATATCTCATCTATCAATAAAAATGTTGTTGACTTTTGCTCTGCATGTTGTCTTGGCAAGGCTCACAGACTTCCTTCCTACCCCTCTACCACAGTTTTTCACTCTCCCTTTGAACTGGTTTTTACTTATTTGTGGTTACTCTTACTATATATCATTCATTGATGCCTTCTCTAAGTACACCTGGATCTACTTTATTAAAAAGAAATTTGATGCCTTCTTGGCATTTCAAAACTTCTATCAATACATTTTAAACCAGTTCAACATCTCAATTAAGTCCATACACACCATCAAAATGGTGTTGTTGAGAGAAAGCATCGCACCATTGTTGAGAAAGGTTTATGTATATTAGCCCATTCCTCCTTACCTTTCAAATTCTGGGACACTGCTTTTGCCACTGCTGTGTATCTTATAAACAGATTGCCCTCTAAATCCATAACAAATCTCAGTCCATACTTTAAGCTTTATGGAACTGTTCCTGATTATTCATTTCTCATGCTCTTTGGTTGTTCTTGCTACCCCTTCATCAGACCCTACAACAAACACAAACTGGATTATCACTCAAAAGAATGTGTCTTCCTGGGTTACTCATCTCAACATAAGGGCTACAAGTGTCTTTCACCTTGTGGAAAAATATCTCTCTCCAGGAATGTTATCTTTAATGAAACAAAATTCCCTTATCCTACACTCTTTCCTTCCACACCTAATCCATCTCCCAATGTCCCAGTCTCACTTTCTGCTCCAATCACAATTCTTCCACCTTCATCTTCTTCTCAACCCATCTCTGACAATGGTGCCTCTGCATTCTCTAATACTTCTACTTCCTCCTCCAGTTCTTCCTCCACCTCTACATCTTCATCCACTAAACCTACACCCAATTCTAATCATCCTACTGATCATTCAGTATCATCCTCAACTGAGTCTCCCATCCTTCATCCTCTCAATGAAACTACTACTGTATTCTCCTCACCAGAGTCTTCCATCCCTCATCCCTTCAATGCAACCACTAACAATTCTCATCCTACACCATCTGTGTCTTCCTCATCCTCTTCTACATCTCCAGTTCCCCTCCATAATACTCATCTCATGCAAACTAGATCCAAATCAGGGATTGTTAAACCTAGACTTAATCCCACCTTACTGTGAGCTCATATAGAGCCCAAATCAGTGAAGCAGGCTCTCTCTTCTCCACCTTGGCTTGCAGCTATGCAAACTGAATTCAATGTTTTGATAGCTAACAATACCTGGTCTCTAGTTTCTCTTCCTCCAGGAAAGCAGGCTATTGGTTGCAAGTGGGTTTTCAGAGTCAAAGAAAATGATGATGGATCTGTGAACAAGTTCAGAGCGAGGTTGGTGGCAAAAGGGTTTCATCAGAAGTTTGGGTTTGACTTTGGAGAAACCTTTTCTCCAGTAGTCAAACCTGTAACAATCAGAATACTTGTGACACTTGTTGTTTCTCACCAATGGTCTATACAACAACTGGATGTCAATAATGCTTTTCTAAATGGGGACCTTGAGGAAGAGGTATACATGTCTCAGCCCCCTGGTTTTCAAGTTAAGGACACTTCTCTTGTTTGCAGACTACATAAATCCTTGTATGGTCTCAAACAAGCTCCTAGAGCTTAGTTTCAAAAGCTTACTTCAGTACTGTACAATGAAGGGTTCAAGCAAAGCAAGTGTAATCCTTCCCTTCTCATGTACCTGCATTCTGGAATTCAGATCTATCTCCTCATCTATGTTGATGACATACTAGTCATTGGCAATAATCCCCTTACATTCTTCTTTCTCCCTTAAACACCTTGGAGACATTGATTTCTTTTTGGGCATAGAAGTCAGAAAGCTTCCTAATGGTTGTTTACATCTTTCCCAAGCTAAATATGTTAGAGATCTCCTACATAAGGTTGGAATGTCAGATTCCAAGGGTGTGAAAACACCTATGGTGAGTAGCTGTAAACTCACTAATGAAGGGAATGACTACCTTCCTGATCCCTCTCACTCCAGATCTGTGGTTGGAACTCTGCAGTATGCCACATTAACTAGACCTGAACTCAGTTATTCTGTAAATAAGGTATGTCAGTTCATGGCTAATCCTTTACAAGAACATTGGAAAGCTGTAAAGCACATCCTAAGATATCTGTCTGGTACTATAAATCATGGGTTGATCATCAAACCTCTTCCTCTGACAAAAATACCTCTACCTATTTCTGCCTACTGTGATGCTGACTGGGCATCAGATCCTTCAGATATGAAATCTACATCAGGGTCCTGCATTTTCTTAGGTCCCAATATAATTTCTTGGTGGTCTAGGAAACAATTGAGGGTTGCCAGATCCTCAGCAGAGGCTGAATACAGAAGCCTAGCAGATAGTACATCAGAAATATTTTGGGTTCAGTTCCTACTCAAAGAACTTCAAGTTCCTTTTGTTACTCCAAGAATCTACTGTGACAACCTCAGTACAGTACAGCTTAGCTCACAACCCTGTCTTGCACTCTCGCATAAAACACATGGAAATTGATTTATTCTTTGTAAGAGAGAAAGTCAAGCTCAAACAACTTGAAGTTCTTCACATTCCTGCCTCTCAGCAAGTTGCAGATGTGTTGATAAAGCCTCTATCAGCCTCCACTTTTCTTGAGTTCAGAAACAAACTCAGTGTGATTGATTTTCCAACTCAATCACCCTAAGTTTGAGGGGGGAATGTTAGCAATAGTGTATGAAAACTACACGAGTATTTCTTTGTAATAGTGATTGATTTTCTATGTTAGACTTCCGTTATGTTAGCTAATAGTTAGTTGTAACTACAGCCTATAAATACTCTGTAACTGCTCTTCATTCAACAAGATGATTTCATTTCTATCTTCAATTCAGCTCTCTTTCTAATATACTCCGTATTACATATGGTTCAATAGTATAAAGTTTGGACCAAAGCGTCGAGAGTCACATGTTGGGTATGACAAGATGAACTAGTGTACAAATGTTGCTTATATGTTTTGTTCTCAGTATTTAGTACGAATGTATTATGATTTTATTATTTTTATTATTATTACTATTAGTGTTATTATTACTACTACTATTATTATTACTATTATTTTTATTATTATAAATATGCTTATATATAGAAATAAATTCCCATATATACAACTGTGTGTGTTAAAACTCCGTTTTAGGTATCAATAAATAATTAAGTATTACTCAAATTGTGTAATATGTTGTATAGTATGTATACATAACTTATTATATACATTATTATAAATATTTAAAATATATACTTGTGTATATAAATTATTATATACATTATTATACGTTATTATACAATATATAACTCCCTTTGTCACATATTTAGCTTTTCATTCCTTTAATTTGGTCAAAATTAGAAACTAATGACCATATTTGTTTATTTTTATATATAAGGAATATATTATCATGTGGGGGTCTTGTTAGATTTGTCTGCAGGTGAATTTTCAAAATCTCAACTTTACATGACTTTCAATAATATATATGTATTTTGATATAATAGTGATTAAATATGTGTGAGGGCTAGAGGGAGTATAATATGTTATTACGTACTATAAATGCTATATATATAACATGTAATGATTGCATATGCAACAATCATCATAATACGAAACAAATGTGGTCATCTAATAATTCCTCCTTGGTTTAATAATTGCAACACTTTGACTTTTACACTATTCACATACAACTTTGTTTACATTTTATTTATTAATGTATTAAAGATAACAAAATAATAAAAAATACGGAGTTAAAAATTCTCTCGAAGCAAAATTTCAAAATATGATATTTTATGTGATTTTACTAATGGCCAATTAAATATTTCAATCATCAAAGTTGTGCAATCGGCAAATGTGAAATTCAAGTGTTGCAATTAAATAAGAACATAGGTAGTAAAAAATATAGTGACATGTTACGAGTGTAGAATTAATTTTAAACCCAATTAAACCCACCCAAGGCGTTTGGTAAGACGTAAAGTACTTCACGAAAAATGTAGGGAAGCAAATAGTTTACATTGTTTTTTGTTTTATTTTTAAATAAACTGTAGGAGTTGGACACTTCTCTCAATCACTCTGGTGTATCATGTAAAATGTTTTACTGGGCAGGTGGTAAAAATGTAAAATACTTTGCATGATCAATATAAAAAACGTGAACAATTTGCATGTCATTTTAAAACGGGTTACACACCTAACCAAACAATGTTATCATATTTCACGTTGCTTCCCTACACTCCGCATGCAATCATTTTACATGCAAAACATTAATGTGCAAACTACCAAAGACCCTCTTTTGCGCAGTTGCACTGCCATCTATTTAAGTAAAAATCTGTTGAGAAACTTAATTACACTATCAAATCCTACGTTAATACCTTTATTACAGAACCAGCAGCAAGATAAGCTGACTCTGACGACCCTTCATTGAAATATATGGAATTAAATTGAGCAGCAATCGAATCTCTTCTTGAAGCTAACTTTGCAGAGCTTATACTTCTAATGAATTCTGTGTGAAATTTGGAATGAACAAGGGCTATATGTTTATCTTCAGCGTTTTTCCCATCAAGAATTACACATCTAGAATGAAACAAGAAAACATCAAAACAGAGAATAATACTACGTATTCAACAATAATGTGTAAGATCATTCCCGCATGAAATTGATAGCATTAGCATTACCAAAATAATGAATTAAATAGGGAAAATACAAGTAAAGCAACACAAACAAAACAAAAGCAACAAAGTAAATGAATAGCGAGAAACTATTTAACCAAAAAAAACCTTCTTTGTTTGGAAATTCAAGTTCTGCACTCTGTTCCCTTGGCGGCAGATCTATCTTAGGGATGAGAAGGCTCCAGTCCGGGCTCAAAATTTTAAAGGTCTTGTTTACCATGCAACAATTTTATATATTTATATTAATATGTTGGTGTTGTATACCATTTGTAGTTCATTTTTACCACACGCAAGCTCAGTTAAACAACCATGCATACCAATACATTCAAACTTGCTTTATATGATTCAGTTTAGTTCTAATTTAAAAATTAGTTTTCATTTTCCAGCCTAGGCTGTGGCCAATTTCTGGATAAGCCCGACCTTGATCCTACTAAGCATGCATACTTATAAAAATAAAAGGTTTAAAGAAACAAAGGAAACATTTATATAAGGGAAAATCGCATATATGGTCCTTCAGTTATTCACATAATTAAAATCTCAGACAGGTATTTCTGATATTGTAAATGTCACCCCTCAATTGTCCAAAATGATGTAAATGTGGTCCTTTTGAGGGATGAAAAATACAATGTGGGCAGAATACATTTAACTACTTAAAGGACCACATTTACAACAATTTGGACAATTGAGGGGTGACATTTCTAATCTCAGAAATACAGGTCTGAGATTTTAATTTCGTGGATAACTGAGGGACCATATATGCGATTTTCCCTTTTTATAAAGAAACAAAGGAAACATTTTTTAAAGAAACAAAGGAAACATTTTTTAAAGAAACAAAGTAAACATTAAAAGAACAAATGCTCAATAATGTCAAGATAAAATGCAAATAAAAGGCTGTTCTTTTCTGAGAGCATGAGCAAAGTGTCTATTTATCTACCAGAAAAAAGCGCAGTTTTCTGAAAGGTATAGACTACGTCAAACAAAGCAGCTTCATAGCATAAATATAAAGCAGCTTTATATTTCTAATAATACACAGTAGAATTCTAAAGATACTGAATTAAAAAAAGGAAACGCCGATTTCTTAACTATAAATTACCTCTTAGCTATGCCGGAAGACTGGAGCCGTTTCCAGATTACCCGAATCCGGTCAGGTTTCTCGGGATGATCCTCGCCGTCAGGAGTTGTGTGCTTGCACATCCGGTCGTCGTAGATGATGCCCACGCGCCGGTCACAGAAATTGGTATTGGAGCCCATGGATTCGTGTCTGTTAAAAGGCTGCAGCGCGCCTCCACTTTCCTTCTTCTGTAGGTGAGACTTTGAACTGCAATTGAATTGAAGACAAATAAAATGCTGAAGGTGGAATGCCGGCTGGCACTAAAAATTTGCAGTGGGTGAAATTTTAGCTGCTGGCGGTTGAAGAGTTCGTCCCTTTCGGGTTTTATTGTTGCCAGTTGGTTTCAAATTTGAAATTGAAGTCCTGAGATGCGAAATATGCGGTTAGGATGCCAACGGGGAGATGTGAGGACTGAGGAGTGAGGACTCCTTAAAATTTCATTAATCACAACTTTTAATTTAAAGTTTCATTTATTACAATCATATTTATAATTACCCCAAATTCAAATAGTGCTTTTTGACAAATAATCATAAATATTTATGAAAATGACAATTTATCCTTATTAGTCATTGATTATAAAAATGAATAATGGATATTACACGTTCTCGAAAAAGCCTCCGGGCATAAGAGATATGAATGTTGCTGCTCTAATGAATTTTACGGGAAAGGAATGGAGTAGGGAACGGATTTACAATCTTTTCAATGAGGAAGATAGGAAGCTCATACCGAGCATTTCGACAAGTCTGAAGGACCGAGGGGACTCCTTCTGGTGGAATGGAGAAAAAGACGGCAACTATTCGGTTAAGAGCTGTTATAGGAGGCTCATGGGTGATCAATTAGCGGGAGCTTGGGATGGATGGGGTCGGTTATGGGACTTGCAAATTCCTCTGAAGTTTAAATATTTTGCATGGCAAGTTTTAGATGGGACCTGCCAACGGTGGAGAATTTGAGGAAGAAAGGTATAGCAATTCAGGGCGACTGTAAAATTTGTGGACTTTCGGATGAATCCCTGGATCATGCAGTTAGGTCCTGTCCAGGGGCGGAGGAGATGTGGCAGCGGGCAGGTTTTCAGACCGAGATGGACCAGAAGCCGATTGGTGATTGGCTAAAGTAGCAGGTCGGGCAAATGTCTTCTTTAAGTACGGAGTGGCAGATTTATAGCCATTCTTTGGTGCATTTGGAAGAGGAGAAATAAAGTTGTTTGGGAGGACAGACAACAAACGGGGGAGGAGGTTTTATGTATGGCAGAAGGCATGCTTCAGCGGTGGAAAGCAGCGCAGGACTCAGGCAGGCAGCCTGCGGCTCTTCTTTTGCAGACTGGGAGCTCCATAGCAGCGCGGGCAGCAGGTCCAGCGGAGGGAAAATGGAGAAAATCGGCGGAAGGTGTGGTCAAAATAAATGTAGATGGAGCGGTAAACATGGGGGGAGGCGTCCGAGCTTGGGGTTGGGTTGCCTAAGATGAAAATGGGGAATTTTTAAGAGACAAAGGTACATCAAGGAGGACGGATTGGACGGCGGAGGAAACTGAGGCATGGGGCGTTCGTGATGCAATCCAGGAGGCTTTGGTAGCTGGGTGGAACGAAGTGATTGTGGAGACTGATGCCTCGACGGTCGTTCAAGGGCTGAAGAAAGAGAGTGGTTATTCTTATCTTTCTTTGATTCTTGATGATATTAATGTTTTGCTTGCTTCAAAGAGTTAGTTTAGTATTTCTTTTTGTAAAAGGTCTGCGAACCATGTCGTTCATGCCTTAGCAAGAGCGCATGTCCATTCACCAGATCAGCAGATTGTTTACGAGGCTACACCTGATTGTATTTTTAGCCAGTTGGCTAATGGCCTTTTGATTTAATATAGTTGTGGCTTTTGATGATAAAAAAAAGTTCTCGAAAAATTATGATTTACGAACATATTAGGTAATAAATTAAATCACCTCATTGAAAATTTTGAAATAATAATTGAAATTTAGAGTATATCTATTGATGCAAAGCTAACATCATTTATGTTCATATGAGTATTGTATTGTATTGTATTGTATTGTTGGGCAGATATGAGACCAAAAATAACTGACTTGAGTATATGGAGGAGACTCTGCGGGGTTCATGAAGAAGCTTCTGACCTTTGTTCTTATAGCCCTAAAGGTGTTCTGCAATGGGATCCTGGTAGTGCTGGACTCGGTTCGGGCCGGGCCCGGTTCGGGCCTTGAACCGGCCGGGCCTCGGTTCACCAAAAGGAGGGCCCGGGCCCGAACCGGCAGGTGACCGGTTCCGGGCCGGTTCCGGGCCAGACCGGGCCGGTTCACCCGCCCCATTTTTTTTTTTTGATTTTTTGGCTTCTCTTATTTAACCCCCTACCCCTCCCCCTCAACCCCAAACCACCCCAAACCACCTCAAATGGCCCAAAATACCTAATCCAACCCAAAAATTAAAAAAATTTCAAAAAAAAATTAAAAAAAAAAAATTATTCCGGCCCGGACCGGGCCCGAACCGGCCGGGCCGGTTCACCAAATAGAGGGCCCGGGCCCGGAACCGGTATCCACCGGGCCGGTTCGGCCCGAACCGCCGGTGGACCGGGCCACCGGGCCGGGCCGGTTCACACAGTAACCGGGCCGGGCCGGTTCCGGTTCGGGCCGCCCGGCCCGAGTCCAGCACTAGATCCTGGTATACATGGTGTTTTTTCTCTTGCTTCTGCATATAATGAGATTAGAACAAACAGGTCAATTACTTTCTCTAATAAGCACATATGGCATAAAAATCAGATCCTGCAGATTAAAATATTTCTTTGGAAATTGATGGATTCATATTTGCCTATTACTGATAATCTTAAGAGGCTCAAAATCACACTCCTGCCATCAAGATGCCTCCTGTGTAGGAAGGAGAGTGATACTACTGAGCATGTTTTCTTTGGTTGCCTGTATTCAAAGAAAATATGGCAACACTTCATGGGTATATTTGGGATTAAAATGCCTGAAGAAGCTCGAATCAGACAAGTTCTGATTTTAAGTTGGATTGAAGCTGGGTCAAAAACTTTGGGTGATACTTTTCTGCACAATATGCCTGGCATTATTGCTTGGTATATCTGGAAGGTTTATTCATCAGCCATTTGGGGTTCGGGCGCTATACCTAGTATTGAACAACTGATATTCCATATTAAATTATACATTAAACAGTGGGTTCTTTCCTTGGGCAAAATCAAGAGGAGAGTAGTGGAAAAATTTCTTATTCAAGAAAACCTTGTTCCGACCAACTTCAAATTCAAGTGCTCAGGATTTCAAATAGTTGGACGAGCGCAAAGGCTAAACTATGCACCAACCAGCTCAGACTCTTATCGTCTCGTTGACAGAATTCCTCCCTACGACCTATTACCTCGTGTCCTAATCCTTTCGGGAAACTTAAGGGCTCTGATACCAACTTGTAACACCCCCAAATTTCCCTCCCAAAATAATACTTAAAGAAATAATAAACTTTCATCATTTATTCAAAACTTTGAATTTGTTTGCAGCAGAATTAAACACTAACAAGGAAAAGGGGCGTGTTACCGCCACACCCAGCACTAAACTGACTGGATGCTAAGGCTATCCACCATAAATGTTTCTAAAATAAATATTAAATTCAACATTTGGAATAATGAAGTCTAACAAAGTTTATTCTAAATGAGACTACTCTAAAAGTCATCTAGGAGCGCTCTCAATGCATCAATCTTCATAGACCACATCATCTGTAATATAAGAAAATAAAGGAAACAACTAACACAAAAATTAGCTTTCGCTAAGTAAATCCCACCCAGTCCCGTAAAATAATAGTTTTGTTTGAAAATAAGTATTTGTATATAATATATACAAAAATGAGTTTCCAATAAATTTAAATTTCAAAAAAGAGTAATAATATTTCCAAATAATTCTCGTAAGTATTCCAAAGAATAGTTCTCCAAGTACCAAAATATTTGATTTTCCTCAAAATAGCTTTATAGCTAATTCTCTTAGTCATTTAATTAGAAGGGCGGTGCTCAGCTGTTATCTCGATTCTTGAGCCCAGTGATCCGTTGTTTTGTACGGTCACTCCGATCTGCTATCGGTACCTCATCTCCTCTTTCAGAATCTAGACTTCTACCTTAAGTGTGCACACTCTCTAAAGGGATTCCAAGCCCTCCGAGTAGTATGAAGTCTAAGTAGTTCTGACGTCAACGTCTCCCTACTTCAAATGGGATATGCTCCCTAAGTTCTAGGTTCAAAGACCCTTAAGAGAATAGGTACTACTATTGCTCTAATAAAGGGGATCTAATGCCCAGTTGTTCGGGGTGGTTAACGAACCCTCCAAAATTCATTTAATTTGTTTCAATTCAAGTAGTAGTAGTCCTAACCCTCTCTCACCATTAACGGACGTGAAGGTGGCCCGACACCTACAGATTTCTCCCGTGGTGCCCCAATTATGAAAACAGTCTTTTATCTTGTCTCTCCAAAAATTCCATATTTATGTCTCTTGGACAAAGTTTCACCACAAGGATTATTATCCTTAAATTCTTAACTTTATATTTTCCCCAAAATATATCATGTATACATAAAATCCAATATATCTCAAAATCGCAACAAATACAACATGCTCACAAATAATTCATCATTCAAAATATTCATATCATCACATAAATCAAGTAAATAATTATTTACGAGGTAAAAATATAATTTTGGTTGCAATGTGACTTGCCTCAAATTCCAGATATTCCTAACAAGCTTCTCTAACGGCTTCCTCTCCAAAGTCACCTTCTACTAATTAGAATTCCCAAAGTCAATATTCGTTCTAACTTATAGTATAATTGTTCTACCCTCCCTCTTTTCTATTTTATTGGTTACATTCTATTTCAATAATTAATTAATTACAATCATTTTTATTCGTCAATATTTTTTTTTATTCTTTTCCATCAATAAGTTTATTTGAATCGGTGTACATATTTAAGGGTCCATTAATCCATTTATTATTATCTGTCCATTACCTTATTATAATAAATTAGGTTTAAGCATTCCATTTGAAACTAGCCAGCCTACTATTTGCCATTATATTATTTCGATCACTAACTTACAATGATGATGATGATAACCGTTAACTTTATAAGTAATAATCAGTCCATATTGCTATCACTTTTACTAGTACGTATTGTTGTCGTTAGTATTATTATAGTATCATCATGGGTTCTAAATTCAGTCCATTATTATGTCTAATGATAATTCTATTTTATTTTCATATTTGTTGGTGTATAAACTTGATTAATTATAATCCAAATGTCCATTTTATAGTAATTCAATCGGTGCAGTTTAATAGTCCAGATTCATCCAATTAATCAATTTACATTAAATCAAAATTTCAATTACAATAAACCAATATTATTGTACATCCTAATATATCAGGTATAATCTTC